AAGAGTTCTCGGGAGAGACAGAAGTGCAAGAGAGGGTTGGACAGGAAATATATATATATATATAGTATCTTTTTTTTGAGCCATACCCATTCCAAGACGAGTCTCCAAGAGGTTGAGACCCATTATTTTTTCACACAAACAACTCTTTTACGTTATTTATTTATTTATATTTGTCGGGGGGTAGGCCGTAGAGGGAGGTAGGTTAGCAAGGTAGGTAGCTAGTAGAAGAGGTAGCTAGTACCTTACGCTTCTTCAAAGAAGCTCCCCCCACCTAAGGGCACGGCGAGCTTCCTTGAAGAAGTGCTAGTACTATTCATTTGGTTCCTAGACTTTTAGGATAATTTGGCAGTTTTCACTTTGGACAGGGGATGAGAAGATGGACGACAACTTGCCCCCAAAACCAAGAAACCAGCTTCCTGGCCCGGAGCCCGCCACACAGCCCGCATCTCCCGGTCGGCGTTGAACGGCACGATGCCGTAAGGAATGATCCGGTGCCCTACGGCGATGGGCCAGCGTCTGGGCGTTGACGGGTGGTCCTTAGTGGTATGTGGTGGTCATTTGTGAGGAACAATGGACTTCTCTACCTGGACATGTAGACAATTCGTTGAGGTTGCTCAGGTTCAGGAACAGCTGGTTCAATTTGGGATGTCGATGCAAATGATGCAAAACTCCTAAGGAGTATTGGGATCTGAGATACAAAGTGGATCCAGAGCCCTTCGAATGGCTTCGAAATTACAAAGACCTTGGAGCTTTCTTGAGCTGTGAGAAATCCGCTGGTGACCTGGCCAACAAAGGAGAACCTGTCGAGGATACAGCACACACGTCATTAAAAAAATAGCATCAAAGAGGTTCCTTGATTGTTGTCTTCTCAACCGAGACACAAGTAAGTTGCCCCTCATTACCATCAGTAGCGTGAACGCTCAATCGACCAAAGTTGCTGATGGGCCCGTTCTTCATGGGACGCTACTAGTAGCAAGGTGCCATGCTACTAGTAGCTTGTTACTACTAGTAGGGCACCTTACCACTAGTAGCTATTTGCCACTCGAGAGTGCGCATCCCCACACAGATTTTCAACGACAACGTTCAAGACGTACAAGACTGTGAATCCACGGATGATGATGCAAAACTGTCTTCGTTTTTGAAGAGATCTGACGATTTTGACTCATCATGCCCAGCCAAGATATCCTTCATGTGGGCTGTGGCAATAGCCTCATCACTGAGCAGATGTGTCTCGGCAAAGTTATATAGTGTCTTTTCCCGATCAGGTGTGTGGAGCTTGTGCGTTGAAGAGAGTTGTTAGCGTGTCAACTCCTTGGAGCTTCCTGAGAGCTTCTTTTTGTTGGCCCGCTCCCCTCCGTACCTCTGTACTAGGAACAAGTGCATCGCTACTAGGAACAAGTGCATTACTACTAGTAGCAACTAGCTACTACGATGATGACTACAGTCGTTGCAAGGTACGATGATGGCTACCAGAACATCATAAATATCGACACTTCCCCTGTGGTAATCACGCAAATGATGGAGCGGAACTTTGGAAGGCGCACAACCGCATAGGTTAACACCTCTCTAGTTACTCTAGTAGTTCAAAAGCCTATCACATAAATAGTAGCATCATTCAGTCGTTTTATTGATGGTTCACAATGATTTGGGCATGAGTTTTCTGCATATGAAGCACTTCCATCCATCTCCGCCAGACCAAAGATGATTTGGCTGGAAATGGATGCACTCGATCCTTGTCACAACACTTGATTTGTCTCGTCGCAAAGGGCCCAGGTCAGCTTGACTGCAGTTTCACTCACTAGATTCATCGGCGTACGACTGATGAAGTGTTAAACCGACTGCTTGGATATTTGGTGAAAGCGACCGACACTTCAAACAAATTGTACATGTAGATACTCACTCTCCCACCCTTTCCTCATGTCCTGATTGTGTTAGGGGCCTGACTCAGGACATGTCCTTGCCTGACAATGCATTTGATCTCATCATCGACAAGAGCCTCATGGACACCTTTGCTTGCTCTGAGGCCGGCACAGGGCGAGCCGAGGCTTCAGAGAGTGGGGCAGCAGTTGATTTGGTCAACACGACGAGCATTGCCATCCGGATGTTTAGTGTTCTTCATTGCACAAGTGCCACCAGAATAGGGCAGCCTTCGTTCGTTCGTGGTTCAGCTTGACTTGTTGACTTCATTCTGCAATCTGCTGCTCTATGATGCTATATGCAGCTATGTGCCATACATTGTCCTGTTTTTCTCCCACTGGTATTTGTTCGGTTACTCTCGCTCAGACTCAAAGCATTTTTGCCGGTTTTCGGAGTGCTAGGAGTTGGCCGTGACCATCATCACTTATCTCATGGAGGCACCAGCACTCGCTTCCGCTTTGATAGGGCACACCAGAAGATACCAGAAGCTGCTGAGAGAAGTGAGGGGTTTGCTGGTCTGGGAGTCTCAACGCCAAGTTTTGGTGCTGGACTATACACTTGTTGGTTACCCAGATGAGTGTTTTCTGTTTCAGAACATTTCAGAGCACTTTGCGTTGGAAGCATCTTGACTTGTTGCTGTCTGAATACAAAGTGTTCCCATTCAGAATCGTTTTATTTGTGCTCATCTCTCCTGATTTTCTTGTTCTCATCCCATCTCATCTCTTGCCATATCTTTTGCGTCAATACTTCGCTGCGTGTGATACTTATTTGCAAGTGGTAGTCCTCTTTGTTCATCTAGATAAGGGGCTCAAACAGGGACACCAGGGTTCTGCGCCACCATGACCCTCCCAGAATCCCAACATCGCCCGCTGTGCACTGATCTCTCAGTACAACCCCTCTTCTTTGGCATTTTGCACATCCCCCTTTGGCGAGGTGAGCCGCGTGCTGCGGACTGGTGGGGTGCTGCTGGTGATCTCCTACGGGGCCCCAGAGACACGACTCGACGCTTGGAGAGGGAAGCCGGAAGCGGCGTCGTCGGGCGTGCAAGGGGATTCTGGAGATGGGGGCATGCCACCTATCAGATGGGGCAAACTCTGCCAGGACATGCCACATGCCACCTATCAGATGGGGCGGCAGCTGGAGCCGAAAAGGGTGCTTCATCTCATGAGTCCGATATCTAAATCTTTTTGATTGAGATGTGTGAACATGCTTTCGTTTTTCAACCAACTTCAGGATTTTGACTGCGAGTGACGTGTTTCATCGGTTTGATAGCCGTGCAAAAACAAACTGTGTTGTTTGAGCTGACAGCTTTTGGTGTGCCATGAAGATGATGTTACAGTACTTTTTAAATCACAGATTGGTTTAGTACAGACTTCCTGGTGATGATTCTCAAAGCATGTGCTCTTGCAAAGAGGAGGGTCCAATTTCCCATTTCCCATTTCCAAGTTTCCCAGCGCACGGCTTCAGTAGTTGGCCAGCTAAGGACTTCCTGAAGATGTCACACCTGAAGTTTGAGGTGGTCAAGGGATGTATACGTCGGTTACTGGGCCAGTCTGGAAAGACCTTGGGGACTAGCAATCACATATATTCCAAAGGCTTTGGCAGCGCTAGCCACTGTCAATGAGATTGCTCGAGATGTGATGTTCCCTCCTCCAGCAATCCGAAACACCTAATGTCTTTACATTGGTGGTGCTCATTTGACCGCTGCTGTTGGAGGGGTTTTCCGGGCGGACCTTTTTCTTTCGCAAGGTGGAGGTGGTGACACTGGAAGCCACAGACATGCAAAAGGAGCACTATTTGTACAGATGTACCAAGCAGCCGCATGTGAAGAAGCGGCGCGCAGCAGGCTAAAAGAGGCAGAATCTTTCACCGTGGTGATTGAAGCAAGTTCTCAGAGCAAACTCCCTTGCTTGGTGCTCATCCCCTTCTCATCCTCAGTAGCGCAGCAACTCATACGACCAGGATCATACCGAATCATACCTGTCGACTGGTTCAGTGTTTTTCAAGTCGCATTTTGCTTGATCTATTCCCTGGAGCTCATCACTTGATGAGAGGCTCATGGGAAGAAAGCGGGAGTCCATCGGAGATTGCTTGGCTTCTTCGGACGGGGCTTGGAATCGGAACCATCACCAGGCATCCTCAGGGTTGAAGTCTATGAGCACACCCCAAGTAGGTCTTCTATTACGCCCTCTTCTGAATGTGTTTGTTGGTCAATCTTTGGGTCCTTGATCATCCAGATCATCGATTTTTTCGACCACCCAGGGGGCAGGAATCACCCGGCCAAGAAACCTCATTTTGGGGTTGCCGCGATTCCGCGCTTTCGACCCGCTTCTTTGGCTCGGAAAAAGCTGGGAGAAGTAGGGCCCCCACTCCTGGGAGTGGCGGTTGGGGCACCCAGACTTGGGATTTGTGACCGTCCTTCAATCGGATCAACCGATTGGGACTTCTGGACAGGTAGGTGTAATTGTATAGCTTGCAAAGCTGCATGGTAGGTGTAGGCCATCCAAGCTGCGAGGCAAAAAGCAAACATGGACGAGGAGCTCCAGGAGGCAGGGCTAGGTCTTGTTCTTTTGCTCTTCATCTGTTTTGTGTCCTTTTTTATTCCAACTCGGGTTTGGGGCTCCTTGCTTCCTGCAACAAGCAGAGCGACAGTGTGACGTTTTTTGCTTTTCTTGCTTGGCTGTCGAACATTTTTTAACTGACTCGTGAAATGGACCAGGTGCGAGACAACTTCTATGTTGGGAACTTCAACAAGGACTCGACATGGGATGATGATGGTAAAAATGCTTGGGTGCAAAAACCATACAGGTAGCCGCCAAGGGCACCTCCATTGGCTCTCACTCAGTCGTCACTTAGACAGCCCAGCTGGCTTTGAGTCGAGCCGAGAGGCTTTCGCATAGAAGGAGGCTTCTAGCACCAATCCGTCAATAGGGGTGTGTCTTCAACATGTGCCCATGGGTACATGTCTCAAACCCAGATGTGAACTGTCATGCTACTCTTTGTTCGAGAGCAGCATCTGCAACTTCAGACATATCTTCCACAATTAGACTGGAGGTCGTTTGACCTTGCCCCCAGGATTTGTATGTTTTTTTTTCCAAGTTCTCTCCTCTTCCTCTGTTCTCTGGATTGGAACTTTCCTTCCAGTCTTTCTGGGCATCTCCTTGCCGTGGCCAGTCTCCCGAAGCCGTGCGAAGGCCTTGAGTCTCTGCGAGTCTGTGAAAGGCTCTAGCGAACTCACGCAGAGCGAGCCGTCATCTGAGCACCGATCGACGATGTCTCGATTTTTTGGGGCAGATTGGCGGTCCTGGATGAAGAATTGAAGATCCTGGGCGATGCAACTCGTCAAGGGCAAGCAAATCAAGAAATGAAGATGCTTTGCCCTGAGGCTTGGGGCGACCCTGGCCCGCTGCTGCCTCTCCATCCCGCAGATTGATCGACTTAAGGTGCAGTGGCAAAAGAGACAGACACTGTAGGATTTTGATGGATTTTGTATCTCCGAACTGGTGGAGTCTTATGGACTTGTTTATGCTGCTTGATAGATCACCCGGGATTGTCCAGATGTTGTTGAGCACTCAGGCCATGCAGAACTCGGAGATTCCTGGCCAGAGAGCTGTTGGGCCTCAAATTTTTTGAATCGCAAGTGTGGCCCAAACGGCTTAACCTCATAAACCTTGGTTTCGAGGTGTCAGGTTGAAACAGTGTAACAGGGACACATCTTTTGCCATCTACTTCCTGTGAGTGAACCCTGGTTGGCTTGTAGCCAACCAGTGCCTTCAAGTGCATCCATGAAAGCACAATTTCCAATTTCTTCAAAGTGGTCCCCTAACAGAGTTTATGTATTTTCTTCCTTAAGTCTACACCAAGGGGAAGTCACCTCATGATTCATTTGAGGCGGCTTTGATGGCTGTCATCACCAAGTCCAAGAGTGCACAGCAGGTCTCTAGCGCCAAGGCGCATTCCTTCACGTTCTTCTGAAGCAACAACCCTGCATCAAAGCAGTTCTGCTGATCCCCAAGAACTTTGCTTGTTCAATCAGCAGTATTTTTTTTCACCTGATTCAACCTTGCAACTGGGGGTACAATCCACCAACACAATCAACACGCATGGATTTTCAATGGAATAGCAGAGTTTTTGGCGCCGACCACCTCCGATCTGACCTTGTCCTGGCCAATGCAGGAGCGCTTAGGAGCCTTGGCCAAAGAGACCCAGGCCACTACGGGAGAGTCGTTTTATGGTTCGTGATGGTAGCTACCGGGGTGCTTGCTGGATGGAAGTTGACTGCATTGACTTGAGATTCAAAAGGCTTGAGTCAGCATGACAATTGTTGCTTCTGTGACCCATCCTTCAGAGTCTAGCCTTACACTGCTTGCGGCCGATTCACGAATGTCGGCTTATCCACTTCCACCGACTGAACAAGTTGTCATTCAAAGAGTGGGTTTCACCCCTAACAGCTAGCCGCGCCCTAGAAAGCCCGGTGCCCTTGGGAGTCTCGAGAATTCCGTCGAAAGCGCTGCTGAGCCAGCCATTCATTTTGGTGTCTTCACCAGGGTCCTCAGGTGCCACGACAGGACCACTGGGTACGACAGCCGCTTTGGATCTTGATCCGCTTCTCGTCAGGACATGAGCTGTGCCATGCTGAATGCCATGGTCCTGGCCATGGATGGTCTGGGAACCTGGGAGGCAAACTTTTCCTTAGAGTCTTTGAGAGTGAAAGCATTATATACCTAGAATCTAGAAGCATTGCTAGCTTGGGGCGGAGAAGAGGTTGAAGAGGCTTGCTTGATTGAGCGGACTCAAGGCTTGGTCAAGGAACTGTTAAGTCGAGGCAAAGAGGAACCATTGATGTCGGCTTGTCAGGATGATACTTATAACTTATAACCCGCTTTTGTCCAGGGAGGATTCTTGTTCTTGGAGACTTGGTTTTCACTTCCGATCGTACAGCAAGGCAGCTGGAATGAGGCGGCGCAGATGACAAAGGTCGAGACCGAGTCGAGAGGTTTCGGTGGTTTTGTTCAGAAGAGACGAGTACGATCAGGCATCCTTGCAGAAACACCGACAAAAACACCTTTAAACAAAAAAAGTATTCTTCTACACTAGGGGCCACTTTTGAGGTGGCTCAAAGGCCGTGAAGGTGGCCCTGAGTCTTGGCATTGAGTCGTTGGGCCTGTCTTTAGCCTGAAGTACACGCTCATGGGCCAGCATCCGCCTGGCAATGTTGCACGCAAGAATGTTTCGACACCGAAATCGATGAAGCATCCGAAGCACCATGCTTTGAATGGCGCCAGGCACATCCAGTTCTGGAAATGCAGGATCTATCTGGGCCGAGCCGATTTGTTGAGTCGTCCGTTTTTTTCCGTTGCGAGCCACTAAAGGCATACATCGAGCAGCATTTCACCGGTTGAAGCAAGCCCCAAGTTCAATGCTAGGAAGTTGCACTTTCAGGAGTTGCTGAGGTCGCCACCTGTGCATTTCGGTCTCGATCGCCGGGTTGATGGGCATGACCCGTGGCTGGGAGGTGCTGACCATCTTTCTGGCGCTTAGCTGTAACCAAGTGGCCATGGCAGAAAAGCTGCTAAAGGCTCGAAGCGTTTCACGGATGGTGAAGGGGCGATTTTCCTTCTTGGTTCGTGGTGAGCCATGAAATGCCATGAAATGATATGACATGATATGCATCAGGTCAGATTCCGAGCCAGCACAGTGCTGTGGCAGTTTTCCGCACTCGGACGCCAGAAGCAGGGTCTGCAGGGTCTTGTTTAGGTCGATCTTGCCCGCCAGGAGGCATCTGGAAATAATGATGACTCTGTGTGGGCCTGAAAAGACCTGCGACCTGCCTTTAGACCGTGCTGTGTTCTTCAAGTGGTGGTTGGTTGTGTTCTTCAAGTGTGGTGATTGCGGCGGCAGCGCTTTTGCTTGCAGGAGAACAGCATTGTGATATACTAATCAATCATAGGTCATAGGGCATAGAACATTCCCATGAGATCCAATGAAGGGTTGAGCTCATGTCCAAGGTGCAGAAAACAGGATTTGACTTCTGTGAGATTGATTGCAGTGTAATTCATGCTGTTTCTTTTTTCATTTGGTCATACATGCTGGACCTTGGGAGGCCAATCTTTCAGAGCTCAAATCTCCAGGAGTGGTTTCTCTCTATCTTCCCTTCTACCACAACCGTTTAGAGGTCTTATCGGTCCTTTTCAAGCGAGGCGGCCTATCGGCTGGCGGCCGCTGCCGTGAAGCTAGCGACGGGGGACCCCGAGGAAGCGTGCCCTGTGGGTTTAGCGAGCGAGGAAAAACCCTTTGTGGTTCCCTGTTTCCCTGGCGGCATGAATCCAGACCGATGGCCGCGATGACGTTTTTGAGGCGAAGCGCCAATCTGACGCAACGGCTCAGTATTCGGCATGACCTTTTCACCGCCTGAGGTACCTGACTTATTGCGACCTCTGCTCTCAGTTCCCCGCCGTTGAGGGTGATGCCTTTGTCTCAGTGGCACAGTCATAGTTTCAAATCTAGATGAACACGTGGCTCAGCAGCTCAGCAGTCTGGATTTCAAGGTCTTGAATCAACACCCACAACTTTCCCCAAACAATCCACATCCATGAGTAACCTACAACCAGACCCCCAAATTAGCTTCTGACCATGAATCAACAAGGATTCGGGCTCTGGATCCGTCCTGCTGCAGACTGGCAAGGCTGCAGAGAATCACCAGGGAAGAGAAACAAGCTGATATTTCCGGCATAATTACGATTGTCATTTTTGTTTTATAATTTGGAGTCTCGAGTGAAAACAATTGAACCAATTTGGAATCTTGAATTCTTTCGCCTCCATCCAAATCCATCACCAAATCCATCCATAGGATTTCATTCTTAGATTCGGTGATTCGGGCGCCTGTCCTTTGTTTGCTTTCCTGTCCTGCCAACTTGTCCCGCAGGCTTTGGCCAACATGCAGCGGGGTATGTTCTCGGAAGCAGTGGAGGTTGGGTGCCAAGCACCCTGATTGACCGTTCTGACCGAAGCGTTTTTTTCCCAAACAAAACAACGGTCCAAATGGTTTTCCCAAGTTCTGACACTTCTGGCTCTCAATACGATCCGAACCAATGGGTATTCAGGTTTCACGTATCAAATGTATGTCTGCTTTTCTACTGGGGTCTTTTGCCAGTGACGGTGTGCCATGATGTGTCGTTTGAATTTCGGACCATTGATCTCCGGAATAGCAGAAGGACTTTGGGTCTTTGTGGCAGCGTTTTGGCAGGACTTGCAGAGGGCTTTGAGCAGCAACCCCAACGACCCGGATTCCTTGGCCTTGCCAGCGGGTTAAAGCACAGCGGCGTCGGGGAGAAGAGCTGATCGTGCTCCGCCGCGTCAATGCCAGGTGAATATGTGCTGCTGTATGACTCACCTTGGCAAGAAGGCACGGGGTCTGAAGGTTCAACAATTGCTTCTGATGTGGGAGCATGCAAAAAGGATTAAAACGGGGATGCTGACCATTCTGGATGAAATTTACTTGCGCCAGGATGAGTTCCAGCAATACTATTCCAAGCTGGAGCAGGTGGCTCCCACCAACCCGTTTGTGCTGAAAACACAGGCTGGGAAGCAATGCTGGCGTCAAACTGGGATCATCTTAATAAGCAACCTATATTTATATATATATATAGAAGCTTGAAGTCATTTGGAGTTTACATCCTGCACCTTTCCATTAGTATGTTTCAGATTTTTCCAGTGTATCTATATATTGCCCAATAGAGAACCTGTAATGTTGAGATCTGAGAAGTCTGGTAAAAAGTAACATTCATTATCGATATTAGATTTGAACAACTGATTTCACCAGGACATTTTTTGATGACCAACTGTATAAACTCGTAAACCATGACATAAAAGAACATGACCACTGGAAAAGAACCATAACTTTGCCGATATCATGTCCATAAGTTCTTTCATAAAATGACTATTTTTCATATGTTTTCATGAACCTTATAAACATTTCTTATGTTCATATTATAGATAGATTGTGACAACGACATTGCTTTTCTAATGATAAAACCAGTTTTTTAGTTTTATGAAAACATGTTGTATGAAAGATGTTATGAATAAGGTAAACATTCAACTATTACGCAATCATAATTTTCCGCGTAGTTGCTTTCAAAACATGTTAATTCATATTAAACAAGATCTTGACGTGATTTGTACCATCTAGTAGGACCTCAACTATAGTGGTGCAGGATTTCATCCACCAACATACCAACTCATGCAAGCTTTGTTTCTTCAAGAACCAATGCACTTGGGAACATCAAACATGTATTCGTTCTCCGAGCCAGGGCATGACCACTGCATTCACGCGCTTCCAGGCTTCATTGCAGGCAAGTTGTTTCAAGAGAAACACGGTGAGTGAAAGGGTTGATGGCAGGCTGTCCTTGATTGGAAGATCGTCTTCTCCAAGCCACACAATCCCACTTCATGTGTTGGGGCTGCTTCGTGTGGTTCCAACACGCCCAAAGAAGAGACTTCGCGACAATTTTCCGAGGACCTCCAAGCATTTCATGTCGTCTTGTGTGAAGAATTAAGGGCCAAACTTATGGATTGCACATTTGATCGTGTGACCGCTCTGCCAGGTGTGAGCCGAGCTTGCAGTGACGTCACAAACCGGTTATTGGGTTCATGGAGCAAAAACCCTTGAAAGATCTGAGCATCAGTGTTCATGGATGGGTATGAATTTCAGGTTTTAAGCTATTTTTGCAGTTGCCAAAAAGTTAGATCCAAAACTTCTGGGCTATCCGTTCGATTCAGTCTAGAGTCTAGCACCAAGATGCGCAAAACAATTGCAAAGCAGAGACCTTTTCAGGTTTTGATCAACACCGTCAGATGTCTCACTAGAATCGAAAAAAGCGGGCGGCATAGTTAGCACCTAAGCAGCCCGGGCGGAGAAAACCACTGCAGCTGTCCGCAGCAGGATGGAACCTATGTCTTAGAGGCAAGCTGGCCTTTGGAACCATCCAATTCTGCTTTACTTGTGCCACTGAAGATCACCAAAGCGGGATCAGATGGCAAATGGTTCAGTCCGGACCCTGGCCCTTGGTATTGAAGTTCTCTACGCTAGCTAGGCGCAGGAAGGCCTTTTGGTATTGGTACCTCAAAACAGAAGGCGGTGCACTCCCCATTGTTGCAATTCACAATCGGGTACAGCACTGAAGCCTGAGCCGTTCTCACTTCACCGCTGTAGCCTGCTTCAACAGCTTGCGAAACAAAGAACGACTCAGGAGGTCAAAAACACATCCAAGTGCTGACAGTCCGCACAGAACACCTCTAGAAGTTCTGGAGCTTGCATCGGACAGAACACATGATGCACCTTCCACCCGTCAACGATATGGACATTTCGGGACATGTTGCAGTGTTCACTTTCTTGGGCTTGACCAGTCTAGATTCTAGATGGTCCTGCATAGGACCGCCAGTGCAGTATCATCTAGAGCCTGGCCTTCACCAAGCCAAAAGGACCTCACACGGTGCGGAAGGTGAATGAAGATGACATATGCTTCGGATGTTCTCAGTGAACCAGGGCGATCCAAACGGATTTTTTGACCAGTCTCGGACACCACGGTGAAACGAGTTGGCCATGGTGCTGCGATGGGTGGCGCTCGGAGGGGCCAGCATCTCAGAGAGTGGACACCCGATGAGATGTTGGACTCCTTCGGAGATGAGATGTTGCTGTAGAGGAGGTTAGGGCTTGAACGTCGCATTGAAGTACCATGAAGAGCAGAGCGGAGCTTGAGGGAACTTCTTTGGTGATTGAAGCAAACTAATCACTTTGCATGCTGTTGCAGACAGACAGCAGGATACTTTTCGGCTTTATTCTGACACTCTGGCAGCAATCGTGGTGCAGAAACCTATTGGGCTGCGGACTTCCTTTGAAGGTTTTGCTTTATCAAAAAGTGGGTTTGTCCCAAGGACTGTACCAGTGCAGGTTTATCAATACGCTGGCTGAAAGAATGACCGACCATTAGTCGATGGAGCCGCCCAGTGGAGCCTTTGGGCCTGGACTGTGTGGACTGTTGATGAAAGAAACCGCCGGCTAAGAAACACCTCTCCAGATCTTGAATCAACAGTCTACATTCATATTCCATCCATCTTCTCCCAGGTCATGCTGAGCCAGGCATGGTCGCCGGGTCGAGCATCGGGTCAGAGGTTCCTACTGTTCGTGACCGCGCGGCCTCCATGGACGTCAAAGCACTCAGGGGGTGGTCGAAACACTTAGTACCACGGTGACTGGTGGCAAAGAGCTTTGGAAGAGCTTTTTCAGTTGACTGGTGTGCGACCTCCATGTATTGGAAGGCCCGTGCTGCCATCCGAATGCCAGAGGATCGGGCTGTGTTCTCGGTGAGATGTGAGGAAAGCTGGCAACATGAAGGGAACCACAAGTTGGAGAAACGTCAAATAGAGCTAGTGAGTAGTAGATCCTAAAGCAGCGAAGCAGCTCTTCATGATTCTGGTGATTGTGCATGATGCAGAGGAGTTCAATGTTGAGAAGGACTTCGATGTGAAAAACAAGTATCAGAGAGCCAGGGAGGCTCAGATCAGGGCTCCTAGGTGCTCTGGCTTCAGCACCACAGCACCCATTTGAATGTGTCCAGATATAAGTAATGGCACATTTCCTATACAAATATTAAATCCAATCTAACACTTCAAAAGCCTTTGCTCGATGCCTGAAGACTTGTTCACGTGCTTCCAATCTCTGAGGCGCAGAAGTACATCCGCCACTTGGCGTGGGAGTTCGGGTCTGGCTGTGAATAGAAGCGCGAGCTATCTTGCGTCCTAAGTAGTAGCTACTTAAGGTACTAGCTACCGTTTGCTTCTACTAGCTACTTTTAGCTACTACCTCACCTCTTCTCGGGCTACACCCCGGGCAAGAAAACAATCGAAGAAGACTTGCGGATGCGGCTGCTGCAAGAAGACTACACAGAACATGCCTTTTCCAGTGAACGTGTGGCTCAAGTCTGAAGGAATCTGGAGTCTAAAAGAGTCCGAAGATCGGACTGTGGCTCCTTCGGGTGCACCATGCCTCCAGTGGACGATGAGGACAATTTGACCATGTGGAATGCTTTCAGGGGCGCTGTTGACCGAGGTGACTTGGAGGAAGTGAATGAGATGCTTGAGAATGGATGCAATCCCTACCAGAAGGTGAGTGGCGATGGGTCAAATTGGACCGTGCTGATGCTGGCAGCTAATGCCGGGCATGAGGAGTTGGTGCAAAAGTTTAGTAAAGGTGGAAAAGGAGTAAGCGAGAAGGATTCCCATGGATTTCAGGCGATGATGCTTGCCGCTTTGAAGGGCCATACGGGGGTTTGCCGCACTTTGTTGGAAAGGAAAGCTGATTGCAATGCTTGCAATGAACATGGTGAGACCCCCTTGATGATGGCGGCCGCCATGGGCCACAACGATGTCGTCTCGATGCTCTTGGATGCCAATGCCGATGCCAATGCCTGCGACGGAAATGCCATGAGTGCGGTGAAGAAAGCCTCCCGGTGGGGCCATGTGGATTGCCTCAAGACACTTTTGCCCAAGGTGAACCAAGATCCGCGTGAGATGAAACATTGCCTTCTCTTCGGGAAGCTCTATGACCACCCAGAGGTCATGGCAGAGATTCAGAAGGTCTTGGAGCCCCCAGAAGAAGATGTTGAAGTGTCTCAGGCTTGAGACAGTGTCACTACCAGCTGCGTTTCACATCGTTTCACTCTGCAAGCACACCACGAGCTTGAAAAGAGTTCCCACAACATCCAAAGACCTTTGGTTTGGAAGACCTTGTTGCAAGACCTTCGTTGGAAGACCAAGTCATGGCTGTGTGGAACGAACTCCCCGGACTCCTCTCCTCTCAGGATGCGACCTTTGCCAGATGGCCGTGGGGAACACCTTTGACTCGGCAGCTAGGCAGCAATTCTCCGAAGCTTGACTCTCCTCTGTCAACAGCTTTTGTTACACAAACAGCATGAGAAAGCCCTCTTGCACGAGGAATACACATGCCGCTCCGATGTATTTTTTGGCTGAGAAGTTTTCTCATACATGGGCAGTGGGTGGGTCGAGATCGCTGTAGACACTGTAGACCGTGAAAGATTGCTGATTGGTGTGGAATTGGTTGAGAAGAATTCCAAAATGCTCTCGTAATCTGAGAAGGGGAATGTGAATGCCGAGGCGCAAGTTGTTTGATCCCTCCTGTTCGTCTAAGACGTTTCACCGACGTTTCACCGAGTTGTCTCCAGGTGGGGCCCAGCTTTACCGAGGCTGGACCAGATTAGAGTGGAGTGTACCAGCGCTTTCAACACTGGCTTTACCGAGTCGTATAAGTCACATTGAAGTCAGATTTGGCCGGTACAGTTCTCGAATACAAAGCCCCCGCTCCTTTTCCGGTAGACGGACAGAAGGCATCGAGAGCATTTCCAGTTGATCTGCTGGAAGCAAGTCAGATGTTGAGGTCCTACTGGTAAATGCTCAAACGTGATTCGTAGAGCGACAATCCGTTTTGTCATGCTCCAGGATGATGTCTATGACCACATCGAAAAGATCTGTGACGTTTCTGCCTGAGGCGCCAGGAAATCCAAGTCTCACAATTCCCTCCCTTGACTATTCACAAAGGCACTCCTCAGCACAACTACACGTTGCAGCATTGAGATTGGTGGTTGTCCTAGTGCAACAAAAACATACCTCAACTTCAACGGGGAAGACGGAAAAGACCTGCTCCTCTCCATTTAGTGGAGTCGTTTCATTGGGAGTCCGTTAAACATATCCAGATGAGACTGGAGTTCATCCCGACGGGACCCGGCTGAGATTGATGACCTCTACACCAAACGGGAGTTGATAGAGGTGCGCTTGGGGGAGGATTGGGGGTGGATCAAGTAATGACGCGTGGGTCGGAATTTTGGAGCCACATCCATATGCTGCACTGATATTCTGAGAAACCTACAAGGGTTCCATCCAGCCAGCCTCTACAATGCATGTCGAAGCGGACAATTCTTCAAATGGGGTCGAACGGACACCCTAAGGAGAGTGTCAAGTGTAGAGTGTCAAGTGTCAAGTGTGCTGCAGAACTTGAAGAGAAGTTTAGTTGGGGCACAGCGCCTTCCTTTAACATCCATACCCAGCGGCTTGGCAGGGGTATATGTATATAGATATACATGTATGTATGAATGTATATGTGTATGTATATGTATATATATGTATATAAATGTATATATGTATATATATGTATATATATATGTATATATTATACATGTATATATATGTATATGTATATGTATATATGTATATAGGTATATAATGGTATATAGATATATAGGTATACATGTATGTATGAATGTATATGTATATGTATATGTAATGTATATGTATATGTATATGTGTATGTGTATGTATATGTATATGCATATGCATATGCATATTTATTTTTGGCACGTTTCTTTTCCAGTGCAACCAGGTGCTCAGGCGAACATCCTTCTCAGGTCCTGTGACCTGGAAGGGCAGGGCTCTTTGAGCCTCTTGTTGAGAAGTACCTTCTCCTGGACGATCTTGTTGCGGGCACCACACCTCGAACACTCGGCTGCATTGCCTTGTCGCTGCATGGTGTGCGAACTGT